ACGGCCCTCGCGCTTGGTTAATAAAATATATATATTTCCTCAACTTATGATGGAAATAACAACAGATGAAACAGATAACGTATCCAATAAGAACTCAACTACAGTTTAACAATAGCAAAAACACTCACAACTGAAAAAGGTAACAAAAAAATATGTTTGAAGTTCCCATTTTCTCTCACAGGCATCTATCATGATATATACAATAACGCATAAATTACAAAACCTCGCCCAACTTTTTTTTTTAACAAAAGACGTTCTGATGTAGATGGAGAGCTTGCTTCATTCTGCGACATAATAGAGGCTCTCGATCGATTGAAAATGTTTTTTTTTTAACTTTCCTTCATACTCAGGTGTATGGTGACGATGCCAAGCAATGCCCTCACTCTGCATGTGGCCCGCTAAAAGCCTGCGAACTGCAAGTAAGTCCAAACCTTCCCTGATTTAGTAAAAATTTGACAAATTTTACATCTCAGTCGCCATTTTAAGAGAATAGCTAAACATCATACGAATATTATTCGCGTGACTGACTTTTTATCTAGTTTGTTCATGAGTTTAATTCATTTTTCACAGGAAAAACTGATATACCATCAGACTATGACGCCTGCTTGGCTAGAGGGCTTTGCCTCATACATTGACAGTTCGCATTCTACAACAGCAGATCTTATCACCTTCAACGCAGGTAAAACGTCGAATGCAGCACTTCTAAAGATTCCATTGCTTGCTTCTGACGTCTTGAAAGACTGCGTATCGCTGACCGTTGAAATAACCGTTGCCAATGACGTCAGAATTGGTGGACGAGGTTACGACAGCGATATAAGATATGGTTTGTCGGATGGAACCAATTTTATTGGATTCGAAGCGCCAGACAGAAGGACGTACGCGAGTCAGTCTCCTTGTTACGGAATTGAAGGGACATCTGGGAATGCACTGACGGAAATAAAATACAAAAACACAAAATTCCCTAAGGTCAACAAGTACTCGTACTACCCCGGTCGATTCTTGTTCACATTCAAGTTGGATCAGCGATGGGGTTCGTGTTACACTGCGCAGGACCATGGCTTTGAGAAGACCGCTGGCTACATTAACCGACTCAAAGTCAGCAAGGGGCTCACTCTGGAGGTTTATAAGACCGATAAAAATGAGAGGGTTGGGATCAAGTTTCTCAAGGTGGCCATTACACAGGACTCGTCGTGTGTTCAGTAATGAAAAAGTCGCCCAAAAGATTTCAAGGCTCGCCACAGTGGTGGTATATAAATGATAGATCATGAATAAGAAATTATAAAAGAGGTAACCACTTGAGTCTTGCGGTGAAGAAGTCAATTTCGTGTTCGTGTTTACCCAAAGAAGCCTAAGTATTAAATACCAAATCAGTGACACCGGTGTACTTGTACAAAAATTTTCTATAACAAGAATAATAAACGTGTTCTTCGTTATTCAAGAAATTAAAAGATTATTTTTGGCATCAAAGAGTCCGCCAAAATGACCTTCAATTTCTAATCTGATCAAAATCTTGTAATATCAAAATGTGACGAAATGGGACCGCATAGTGTAGTTGTGAGGTTTTTGAGAGCTTTTCCCGTCTTATTTTCCCCTAACTAACAAAAATGATTAACACCTGAGAATTAAAGAAAACAAATGGCCTGACCATGAGATTCGTTACATCTTGTTACCACGGCAACCTTGTTCAATCTATGAGGATACATTAACAAATCCAACTAGGGACATTCGGTTAAAAGATCGTTGTTCGTTCACATTCAGATAGAAGGCCCTCCGCTTACATTTGTACAGACATCGCTTTGTAATTAACAATTATTCGCCGAAGGCGAGGTGAATATCGTCGAATAATCCCCGAGACGAAGTCGAGGGGATTATTCGACAATATTCACCGAACCTGAGGCGAATAATTGTTTTAGTATAATTTCAGAGCTGAACAACAGAGAAATTTCTAAAATCATAACATTTTAGTAACATTTATTAACATTTTATTTTAACATTTTATATAAACCGCGTGGAGCGGTTTATATAGCGTCATATAAGGAACCGCTCGACCAATCAGATTGCTGGAAACTCTTTGCTCAGCTCTGAAATTATACTAA